TTTCCCTTAGCTGGCAAAAATCCCAACTCTAATTATATTCTACTCTGTCTCTTTCTGCCTTGTACCTGAGTAGTTGAACTTGGCTGGATAAAACATAGAAACAGGTTAGCTGACCTAAGTTAAATTCATGACTAGTAACCATAAGAGGACCCATATAACTGCCCTAGTCTGGGCATTCTCCCATTCTCCTTGGTAACTAAGTCACACTTCTTCCATCCTTAAATCGTCCCCATCCTCGTTCTCACCCGATGACCTTGTCTTAAACCACATGGGACTTCCTTAAGCTCCTGTCCCTGTGTCACCAACCTGCCTCTTCAATGCCCAGTATTCATTCTGCCTTCTTGCTCCCTGTGGCTGTTTTCTCTGCTCCTGAGACTAAGCTGTCGAGGTGTGCACTAGGTCCTTGCCACTCTTGCTCAGTGAAGAACTTTTGCTTCCTCCCTACTCCATCATTCATTACCTTCTTTTACAAGACTACTTCCATCCCATATTTTTTTAAAAGAATTATTTAATTTTAAAATTTATTCATTTATTTTAATTTGCCCAGACACACACACACACACACACACACACACACACACAGGAAGCCGTCAGGTCCAGGACTCAAACCATGTTTGGCCATGTGGGAGTGTCCAGTGCCCTAACCATCACGTCACCTGCTGGTCTCTATTTTAAATTTTTTTTTTTTTGAGAGGTTTTTGCTATAGGGCATGTGCGCTCGCCAGACAGACAGAGAGAGACAGAGAGACAAAAAGCGAGAAATCACCCCCCAGGGGGGATGGCCATGCTGCAATCCCTTCTCCTCCATTCTCCTTTCAGGATCTTGGGCACACACACATATGCGCCCGGCGTGAGTTTTAAGCCACCGGGTCTGGGACGTGAACCGTGGTCGACTACATGGGAATCCAGTGACATAGCCATTACGCTAACTGCTGGTCCCTATTTTAAATATTTTTAAAGGATTATTTTGTTTAACTTTATGCATTTATTTATTTCAATTTGACCAGAGGGGGGTAGAGAGAGAGAGAGAGAGGGAGGGGGAATGAGGGAGAAAGAGAGAGGGAGGGAGAGAGAGGGGGGGAAAGAGAGAGAAAGAGAGAAAGCAAGCTGCCAGGTCCAGACTCAAACCACAGTTGTCCATATGGGAGTCCAGTGTCTTTAACCATACCACCTGCTGGCCCACAATATTATTTTTCTCTCATCTTAAAAACAAAAACAAAACACTGCAACAAAACACTGTTCTTACCCCCAGAGAAGGAGACTGAAAAGTTCAGCAACTTGCCCAAGGTCACATACCTGAAAGTGGTGGGATCAAGGGTCAAATGCATTTTACCCACCCCCAAAGCCCACCCAAATGAGACTTTGTGGGCTGCAGAGGACAGAATGGCTCTCTCTGTGTCCACTGCCCTGCTTTGAGTGGCTGAGCTTGGGCAAAGGAGTGCTTTGCCCAGGATAGGCCATCTAGCTCTGCCATAACCTATGCTCTTGGGACAGCAAGAAAGCCTAGAGCTTTTTGAGAAGGAGACCTGCTTTGTCTTAAGAGGCCCGTTGAGTTGCCGAGATTCTGGCGTGACCAGCTTGCCTCTCATACTAAACATGGTGGGTGGGACTGTAACCTGGACTCCATCCCGACAGCATGCCAGCCACAACAGGTGGGCAGCTGGCCATGATGACAGACAGATGGGGCAGGCCTGGAGGTGGGTGGAAGGCACCAATATCAGGAGTCCTAGTAAAGAGACAAATTCCTCTCTAGTCTTACAGGCCCAGAGCCCATGGTCTGCCACACTTTTTTGTCTCATGTAGAGATGGAAAGTGACAACAAATCTGGCACACTACCCTCCAAAGCCATTTCATCAAGGACATACACCTTTCCTCCATCTCTTGTAATAACTTTTTTCATGCTGAGAATCCTGAACAGCTCAGACCAAGGGGGTTTTCCTCCTGGGATAAAAGATACTTAACTATCTACAGATCACAAGGCCCTCAGTCATCAGTCCTCTTCCCTCCCTGCTCCCAAAGGTTCTTCATGACAATGAACCCATTTTACATCCAGTCTTCCAAATCCATGGGGTTAAGATGGAATTTTCAGACCACCTGGAAATGCATGTATATACTGCCTCTTGTTCGTGAATCTGACAGAACCAGGGTTGACTTCAGCCATGGTGTCTTTTAAGAGTCCCCTTTCAAAGGGGCAGACTGGCCCACTTACTTGTCTGTCACAGCCTGCATGAACTCGTCCAGCAAGTCATCATACTATGAACTCGTCCAGCAAGTCATCATGCTCTTTCCCACGCACACGCTGGTGTTTCAGGCCAATGTACAAAGGGTCTCTGAGCAGCTCCTGGAATAGACAACACCTATTTACTGGGCCTGCTCCCAGTGTTCACGTTTGATTTTCTTCAACAAGTGTCAAGATACAGTAGAAAAGACCAAGGAAGTATGAAAGAAGGGATTATAAAGCTGGTTGGAGTCCTCCTATCTGCGCCCAGATGTCAAGTAGGGATAAAATATCAGCTACATAGGGTGACTGTGATGACGAAGTGAAATAACATATGTGAATTATAACACATGCTAGAAAATGGTGGTAGTGGCTTTAGCACTAATTGTGCTTCCTTTGTGTCATGTCCTGTCCTAAGTGCTTTAATTACCCTGTGAGGCCATGGAGTTGTGTGGCTCAGAAGTCTTAAGTCTCCCGCACAGAGGGGAAGGTAGATAACCTCTAGCTGCCACTCCCTCCCCAGGCTGCTCCAGCCAAAGCTGAGCACAAGTAGGGGCCAGGCAGCCCATTCCTGCACAACTGAGATCATCTGAGGCAGTCTGCTTGGGGACTTCCCACTGGCCTGTGACTCTCCAGGACTGTGTCATAGCTAGGGCTCTGCTACTTAGTTCTTCCTTCCTTCCTTCTCTTCTTTCACTGGTGTCTGATCTGTATACATGCTTCCAACTCACAATGGTTCAACTTATAATTTTTTGACTTTACAGTGGTACAAAAGCAATATGTGCTTAATGTGAATATCTATACTACCGTTCTGTTTCTCACTTTCAGTGCAGTTTCCTTAAATTTCCTGAGAGATTTTAACGTATTACGAAATGGGCTTTGTGTTAGATAATTTCGTCCAACTTTAGGCTAATGTAAGTGTCCTGAGCGTGTGTAAGGTAAACCAGGCTAAGCCATGCTGTTTGGTAGGTTTGGTATTAAATGCCTTTTCAAGCTTTTGTATTTGCAACGTATGATGACTTTATTGGGATGTAATCACACTGTAAGTAGGGGAGCATAGAGGCGGAAGCAGTCATGGAGTTGGGAGGCAGTATACTGTAAAGGAAAGGACACTGTGGGCCTGGGGACTATGGGCAGGATGTTCCCCTCTGAGTGCTTTAGTGTGGCCTGAGGTGCTCTGAGCTTTGGAATCAAATGGACCTGGGTTTGAATTCAGGCTCTGTCACTTAGGTAGCACTGTGACTTTGAGAAAGATTAGCTTCTCTCTGCTTCATTTTTTTTCTTCTCTGCTAAATAAGCATGATAATTATGTCTATCACTTAGTGCATGCTCATTGAGGGTCTGCTCATTATCTATCAGCATTCTCCCCATGATTTGTTCAGTGCTGGCTCATGGTGAGCTCTTTAAAGTGTCTATCACTAGAAGTTGCAAAAAATCTTGGGACTAGGCTCAAGAGTTACTGAGTTAACTAAGAAGGCCTTAGCAATGACTTGGTTCAGCTTCCTCCCATGAGTTTTTGAGACTTGGGAAGGTTAAATGAGCTGCCCAAGGTGGGAGCAATAAAAATCCTGCCTTCTAGACCAGGGCTCATCCTACAGTAGGGACCAGATTTGTTACTTCCTAACCCTGGAACCCACTAGGGTGCCTGGCACCTAAATTTTAATTAAATAACTAAATATTTCCCCTCTTGGATAATTACTAAGTTCCCTTTGGAACTAAATAAGTCACTGACTATTATTTTAGGCAAAGACATTTGTCCAAAGCAGGTGAACCAGAACTTTCTCCTCTGCCATAGAAGTTAGAAGGCTGAATATGCCCTCTATGGCTGTTTGCCCAGTGTTTCCCTCCTAAGGTTTTTCTTGGAGACAAAATGTCGTGAAGAACAAAATAATTTCCTTCTCTTCACTACCCATATCATTACATGTTGGATTTAATCTGGAAGATAGATAAACGTTCTGGCTGAAAAATATTTGTCTTGCCTAGCAACAGGCACAAAGATGTTATCAGAGCACTGTTGGTGGGGGGGGGGGCTTGAGTGGTCACGGGATTCACATTGTGGACACAGGGCCCTGCCCTGCTCAGGGTGTGCCTACGTGCATTTCTTGGGAAGCTCTGGGTAGCTATAAAGGTCCTAGGAAGGCATCCTTATCCATAACACACGTATTGAGTGCTCTGGCAGTAGCACATGGTGAATGCTGAATATTTATTCATCACAGTGAAGGTAGCCTTGCAAGATAGAACCTAGCTTTGTTGCTGACTCCTCTTCCTCAGCAGTCTATTAACCACCAAGGCAACAATGACCAGCCTCTGCTGATAGTCTGCTCCTATGTTTGTCTTTCCTGGCAGACATGTGTTCTCCCTCTCTGCCTGCTAGTCAGTTCCAGAGCCTCCCACCGCATCTTACGGTGAGGTGAATTTCTAGAGGCTCCAGACTCATGTAGGAGAAGACCTCCAAGGCTCAGGATGGCCATTTTAAAGCCAATCATCTTGGGGTGCCCTGCAAAACCTTCTCATTGGGTAGGATGAGCTCTGAGCTATCCTGGGGAAAGCCATTTTTGCTCTGGCCTTCTTTTCCCATGTAGACTGCGGGGATTGAATGAAGTAGTATTTTAGGTCCTTTCTTACTTGGGTAGTGTGACTGGTTGGTTGTGTACAGATGAAACAAAATACACAAACTCATTCACACATAGCCATGATGGAAGGATGAAGAGGTGCTCAGCACAACTCAGGGGCTCCCTTCCCCTGCCCCCCTTGGAACTTAACCACAGATGTCCCTTCTTCATGGGATCACTGGCTCACATATTTATTTTCCCAAATCTCCTTAGTGTTGGCAGGTAAAAGTGACTCAGAGTTTTAGGGTTGTAGACAGCAGATGTTTTCCTTCAACAGGAAACATGGAGGATGTTTCCTCTGACTGAATAAAGCTTCTGTTGCTTTAGGAGTTTTTATAGGGACATCCACGCAGATGGTGTAGTTATTCTGACTCTAAAACCCCTCACGACAGCACCCTCCCTGCATCAACACATGAGATAAAAATGGCTTGACCTCCCTCTCTTTTAATTCTGGTTTACTTTGAGTCATACATGCCCCAAGACTTCTGGGTAAAACATTTTACAAATGCATTCTTTTTATTTTTTTAAACTAGTTTATTTATTTATTTCCTGAGAAAGAGAGATACCTTGAAAAGGTCTCATGCCACAGTGGTCTCCCCACCCTGCAGCATCCCTGAACTTTGAGTTAACCCCAAATGTCCATGGATCCCACCTGCATGAGATATCCACTTCCTCAGTCTTCATTCCTCAGTCTATAACACAAACATCTGACTCACTGTGGCTAGCAGCTCCAAAGTCAGAGAGAGCTGAGTTCAAATCCCAACTCTAACACTTAGGGCTGGGGTACCTGAGGTAAGTATTGAACATGTATCAGTCTCAATTTATTCATCTGTAAAATGGGGAGAATAATATCTCATATAATTGTGGGAATTAAAAGGAATAAAATGCAGAAAGACCTAGAACAATGCCTGGCACATTGCAGGTGTTGGATAAATGGCAGCTGGTATTGTTCTTACTGAACTGGTGAAAACTGCTTATCTCTTGCCCTCATGATGTGGGGATGGCAGGTCAGGCTGTGTTCCCTCCTCTCAGCTATGGAATACTTTCTGGTTCCTCCCTGACACAAGGGAGTAGACCCAGAAGAAGTTCTTTCCCTCTATACCAAGGATGGAGCTTGGTTCTAGAGGCCCAAAGCCTTAGGAGGAAAAGCAGACAGTTTTAGGAGACATGACCCATTAAAATGATCAGTTAGGTGACAGTGTTGAAATTAGAATATTCCACCCAGGTCTGGCCCTCATTTATCTCCTTCATGCCTAGCAGAGTGCCCAATACCTACTCAACTTTTATTAAAAAAGTAAATAAAAAATGTTCATAAAATAACCTTAATTAGAGCAAAATTATGGGCATGCTATGACTACAGCTAGGTCATAACTACATCTATTTATATGCACAGAAAAATAGTGGAAGGGAACACAAATGTAGCATTGTGGGACAAATGCCATTTCCCTTTTCTTTAAAAGTTCTGAGTAATGTTCTAAAGTTATATTGGTAATAACAATTTTAGAAATCAAGAAATGATCTTGACATAAAAAGTAACTGAAAGCCAGGCAGTGCTGTGGTGTAGTGAGAGGAACATAGGCTTGGATTAGGATCCCAGCTCCCCCCTTTCTAGAAGGTCCTCTTGGGCAAATTAAACTCTCTGGGCCTCAGTTTCCTAAAGAATAAAAAATAGGGCAATAATAGGTCCTCCACTGAAAGAGCAAGTGTAAGGCTAAACCAGGTGATCTTTGAAAAGGCCTTGGACCATGATTATTGCTAGCTTTTTCTTTTCTGGTGGGTTTGTTACAAAGTGGGGCTAGCTAACTTCAGCTGAACTTTAGCACATTGTTGCTAGGTGCTGGACTTTCACTGACAAAGGATTCTAATGCTCCTGCTAGATGCATCAACACCCTTCAGGGGATGCAAAATCTCAAAATCAAACTCGAGCTGTTCTAATCCTCACCTAGGGCCACCTTTTAGAGAGGGAATGAGGGTTTCAATTAAATTCAGTCAGAAGACGGGGGAAGGTGTTGAATGGGAAGAATAACCAAATCAGAGGTTACTGAGCTCATCTATTCACGCAAAGATGCACTCTTTAAGGCCAAAGGAAAATTTTTAGCAAGATCCACGTGTCTGGCTGGGGAAGGGAGTCAGTGTGCAGAGCAAAACTTGAAGACTGGTCTTGATGAACAGCTGTAAGGCTCTTGGTATCTCACTTTCTGTTTACTATGCTGATGAGGAGGCACATAGGAAAGAAGAGTTTTGGGGTAGAAGGATGCTCAGTAACCTTCTAGTCCAGGCCTCTCACTGTACCAAAGGGAGTGAAGTCTATTGGGGTGCAGTGACTCACCTGGCTCTCCAGGACCTGGGAACCAGCATTCCTGCTTCTCAGTCTAGTACCTGTCCCAATTCCCCTGCCTTCCTTCATCTTGCTTCCTCCCCTGTGTCTAGGGGAGAGGAAGACCATGCAGAGTCTTGGACCAATTTTTTTTTTTTTTTTGAGAAAGATCACTGCAGAATGTAAATAGGAATAACCTTTTGGCAATGGTAGATAAATGTCATTAGGAAGGAATTCTTGGATTTTTTTTTTTTTCACATTTCCCGACACAGAGTCATAGAACTGAGAAAAATAGGCACATACACTGTGTCCCACGGTGGTGCCCAGAGCAGACAGACCTGGCTGGGGTTTGAGCTCCTTTAATCCCAAACCACCTAGAATCCTACAGGTGGATCTCACCCACAGCGTGATTCGGTTTCTCTCTCTGGGCGTGCAGGATTCTTACGTGCCTGATTCTGACATGTCAGACCCTGGCCTGGTACTTTGAGTTTGAATCCTTCCATGGAGGCAGTTGGCTTTGAAAGTGTAAAGAGATACAGCCCGATAGTCACACCCCCTCAGCTGGCTGCTTTCTCCACAGGTAGGTCAGACACTGACCTCAGGGGAATGGAAGCTGCCTGGGGTCAGGAGGTGAGGTAGGAATGGAAACTCAAGAAGAGGTTCTTGTGAGCATTGGAGGCAGAGGGGCAAGAGGACCCAGAATTGGGAGCAGGGAGAGAATGGGGCTGGATGGGGGTGGCTGGGTAGTCAGGAAGAAGGGAAGTGCTTTACTTTACTGCAGTGAAGGGGAAGTGCCTGGCCAAGGGCATGACAGGAATAAAGTGGTCTGTTGCACTGGAGTTACAGCAGCCTGCAAAGGTGCTTCCCACCCCTCCCACATTTGGGCCCAGCAGCACGTTACCTCGTTGTTGGTGCCGACGTCCAGCAGGACAGGGAGGCACTGCTGTGGGTTCACCCCTCCACATGCTGTGTACAGGGCCAGCTTGCCCACGGGGATGCCCATGCCGTAGCAGCCCAGGTCTCCCAAACCCAGGATGCGCTCCCCATCAGTCACCACCACAGCCTGGAAAACATGGCATGGCATCATCAATGAGGGATTGTGCCTCCTGGAACACAGTGTTTTTAAACAGCTCTTGCATGGCAGGCTTGAAGACTGGACACTCACAGACTTTGCCAGAGAGAAAAAAGCTTGTCTGGGATAAGCCAAAGGATTAATTCACCTGCAGGTGACTGGTGCTTCCTGGCAGGCTGGTGAGAAACCCCAGTGAGGTGAGATGACAGGACACCTGCCCTGCATTCTGAGCTTTGGGTGGGGGCTGCAGAAACACCTGGAGGGAAAGTGTATTTAATCACTTTCCTTCGAAGAAACTGAGGCTTTAGGGGTGGGTCAGGAAGGGAAAGACATAATGAAAGGAGAAAATGGAAAACAAGTGTTCCTGCTATTGTTATAGCACCAGTTTAGACCTCTGTAAGTGCTCTCTGGCCAGCACCCGGGGATGACAAATTCAGTTTGTAAGAATTTGAAATCCTGGTGATAGGTATCTCTTACAATTTCATGTGAAATCAGGAAGACTCTTAAGCTGTACTGTGATTACCTTTGGCATTTGGCAAAGACTCACTGAGGGCCTACTATGTACTAGATGTGCTAGTTTGAGGCCTTGCCTACTGGGAATTCACAGATGCTGTGAAGCCAATAGTGATGGTAGAAATAATTGTATGATTGTGATGAATATTCACTTCTTTCTTTAATATATATTTATGAAGCACCTACTTTGCATAAGATCCTGCGGGAAGGAACTTCAATTTGGTCATCTATGCATGGACACAGCTCTTAAATCCCTTAAATGGGCCACAAGAGAGATGGATTATGTGTGCTAATAAGTGTAACTTAGGGAGAGAAGCCTGAATGCAGCAGAAGACACACAGGGCAGCAGAGATTGAGAGACAGAAGAAGTACTTCCTGTAGGGTAACCTTTTGTAGATGAGGAAACATATGTGCCATAATTCAGACAGGTGGCATTCGTGGGGGTGCAGGTGGGGAGAAAGGCATTTGATGCAAAAAGAAGTTAAGATTCGAGGTAGAGGTGGGGTGAGGTATAGGATGTGTGTGGGGTAACAAGGAACTGCAGGTTGCATGGAAGGAAAGAATGGAAAATCAGGCAGGATCAGATTGTGAAGGGTCTCAAATGTCAGACAAAGGAGAACCCCTTAGGGTAACAGGAATTTGTTTATAGGTCACCCCAATCTGCTCATTATCACTGGCTTCCTCTGTCTCTAAAGAGCTGAATTTATAGGTCACTCATGTCTTCGTGGATACTGTCCTTGGATTAGGACTTAGAACCAGCTCTGAGCTATGGGTGGCCTGGTTGGCCTCAAGTGTGGTACCTATGGGCACCACAGAATTTAGTTCTATCCAGGCTAGCCCAATGCTGGACATTGGGCATAAAGAGATGAAGACCATCCTTGCCCTGGAAGAGATTATGATCTAGTTCCCAAAAAGCCCATGGTATCTTCTAACTTCTTTTCTCTATCTCCAGGGGTGAGAGCACACTCTAGGAGTGAGGCTAGCGCTGCCTTCTGGTAGAAATAGTGCAGAGGTTCTTAAAAACACTCCTTCTTTGGACAGGGGGTTCTGGAATACAACAGACCCATGAAAATCATGATATTCTCCCTTAGGTTGGTCTATAGTCTCCATGGAGAATGCTCACAACTCACAGTGCATCTGGTCCTCCCTATATGCCAGCTAGACAGCTCTGAGATATCTCTGTTTTACAGGTGAGCAAACCTAAGACCTCATATTCTACATGTGTTTGTTAAGTATTAGCCATAAGCCAGGCACTGAACTGGAGTTTCCACACTAGTTATCTAAGAAAGATTAGATAGATGACTTATCAAGGTCACCTTGCTTGTGTATGTGGCAGGACAGGAGTCCAGTCAGGCTTTGGATTCCTGGTTCTGGACTCCACTTGCCACCCCCTTCAGCTGGCCTAAAACATCTGTGCTCTGGCGAAGTCATACCCTGCCTTGGTGACAATATTTCCATTGCTTGCTTCTGACTTCTCCTGGTAGCTCTTATTGTTGGAACCTGTGCCCTTATGTGTCCCTGGGTGCCCAAACTCTGGCCATTTCTCTACCATCTCTCCTCATTAAAGCTTTCTTATTCTGATTCCTGATCTTTCAGAATTCTTCTCTCTGCTGAGAGGCAGGTAAATGGCATGAAATTAATCAGAGAAATACAGTTACTCCAGGATGTTATTCCTACAATCCTAGAGCCCTTCGAGATGGTGACAGGGCTCTGCAGTGCCACCTCCCAGCTTGGAAATGTCCAAGGACACCCTATTGCATGCCTACCCGACTCCTCTGAAGAACTGTCTCACTGCCATATGTGATCCAGTCTTAATCCTGTGTTTACAGTTGAGTTATTGCCACAGCTTCACAACCATAGTGCTTGCCTCTTGCCTTTCTTCCTTCCAATCTTTCTTACCAACCAACTGAATGGAAAGCCCATTTTCATTATACCCCTTGTGGGCTTAGTGGCTTCTTTTTTTTATTTCAATTTATTTATTTGCATTCATTCACTGTACATCATTACAGCATACAAAATGAGATTTTCCATCCAGAGTACACTGTATATTGTCTCAATCAAGCACATCAACAAACATGTTATTGTCAGCAAATGATCTTCCATTTCTTGTTTTCTGTATGTTTTGCTCTGCCATCTCCCACTCTCCTCCCACACTGTCTCTGGTATCTATGTTTGCTTTCTGTACCATTTCCCCCCACACACACATTTTATTGAATCACCAAAGACCCTAATCAATCCAAATACCCTCATAGCAAACACAGGTGACACACACATTTCCATGAACACAAGTCTAACTTTACGCATCCTATAAAGTAGCACCTAGCTGGGGCTACATATCCTACTGCAGTCATTGAATAGATATATTTTTTTTCCTGAAACTTTTTTTTTGTAACTCAATTTACATTCCTTCTCTAAGAATCATCTCAGCACACAAAATGCAATCTCCCACCCAGTACACACTGCATAGTGACTCAATCATGCACATTAAGAAAAACAATTTCCAATTCTAGTTCTTAGAATTATTTCCACCCCTCTTTCTGACTTTTTTTTTTTAAATTTCAATTTAAGGACTTAGTGACTTCTAACTGCCTATAGAGTCCAAAATGCTTAACTCTTAAATGACCTGTACCCAACCTACTTTTGAAACTTATCTCCTGCTCCACACTTGCACACAATTGCCTCTTTTGGCCAAACTGACCTCCTCACACCTTTCTGACACACTCAGAATCTACCTACAGTATCTCACTCTCAGCCTCTATGTTCTTCTCTCCTGGAGGGTCCTTCTCATTTGCCAGCAGTGCAAATCCTGGTCATTCCAATCCAATGCCATTTCTCCTTTCCTGAACTACTGGTATTTGCTGTTTCCACCACAAATACTTGCTGTCAACTGCCTCCTTCCACAAATATTTAGTAAGTACCTACTGTATGCTAAAACCCACACAAAGGTGCTACTAACTAATTTGATAGTGATACCATTTGTGTTCTTGTTTAACATTTAAAAAAAATGTTGTTTGGTCTCATCAAACAGCCTAATAGGCTAATGGCAGGGGCTTTGGAGTCTGATAAACAATATTTGGATCTAGACCCCTCGATTTGTCATGTCGTGTGTAATTTTAGATAGACGACTTCTCTAAGGTTCAATTTTCCATAAAGTAGATAATAATAATACCTAATTCATCAAGTTGCTATAAAGATGAAGTAATATGGGACCAGCAGATGGTGTAAGGGTTACATCACTGCATTCCCATGTAGTTGACCATGGTTCTAGTCCCAGACCTGGCAGCTTGAAACTCAAGCCAGGTGTGTGTGCATGCATGCCCAAAATCACTAGAAAAGAATGGAGGAGAAGGGATTGTGGTGTGGCCATCCCCCCTGGGGGATGATTTCTCACTTTCTATATCACCATCGAGGGCATGCATCTTATAGCAAAAAAATGTCTCTAGAACAACAAAAAATATTTTAAAAGAGGAGATAATATGTGTTTTTTTCACATATGGTGCCTCGTATAAATTAAGTGGTCAGTAAAGGGTTGCTGTTCTAATGACTATAATTATTATTATTTGGGGTAAATATTATTAAGATTTTGAAATTATTTATTTCTTCAGTTCAGCATTATCATAGAAAGGCCATGCAATGATTATAAGTGAATGTATGAAAGAAAAGCCAAGGAGAGACCTTGGCAAGTGCAACTTTTGGGAAAGTCTGGCTATGTAAAGTTTAATCGCATTCTAACCTTGACATCTTCATCCATCACAGTGGCTTCTACTGTCATCTCTAAGTAGATGAAACTTGTAGCTCACTCTCCAATTGACATTGTCACTGACTTTCCAGTTGCCCAATTCCACAAGTTCCTAATCAAATGAAACCTCTTTTGAGCCTTTTCACTTGGCTGTCCCCCCTCCTTCTGTTACTCTTTATCTCCCAAGTTCAAAAGCGTCCAATCTGCTTTTCCTAGCTCCATCATTAGTTAGCTACAGCCAGCTGGTCAACAAGTTCTGCTGATGTTATATGTTCCATATTTCTGACATCCGTTCCATGATCTTCATGCCATTTCTACTGCCTCGAATCAGGCCATCCACTTCTCACTTGAGCCACTAGTAATCTCTTTCTACTCTTGAATTTTCTCCATTCCGTTTCACTTTTCCAAAGCATATCCAAATATATCACTTTCTTATTATCCCTAAATCTTCAACGGTTCCTTATGCCCATAAAATAAAACTCAAACATCTCAGATTGGCATTTAAGATCTTCCAGAAGTAGGCCCAGTATGCCCTTTGAATTTCTCCATCTTCTCCGTGCTCCATCCAAATTAAAATACTTTTGATTTTGTACAAATTTTATACTTTTTTGAACACATGCCATCTTATTCCTCAATCCCTTTATCTCCTTGATCCATATTCTACCATTCTTACATGTTTCAAGAAACAGTTCAAAAAGCACCTCCCTCCATGAAGCTTCCCTTCTAGAAATGATCACTC